GTTTTGAATTTTTCATTTTACTTGACATGAATTTCACTTGTTTAGGTCAACCTAAAAAGAAAAGGTTTCAGCAAAATAACTTTTGGAATGGCCAAAGAACTGAAAACTCAGTTATTTGCATAGGTCTATTCACTTCTGATCTTTCTGCCTGTAGCAAGTAAAGCAACATCAGATCTCCAGCTACAGAGCACAAGCTGGTTGTCAGAGACCAGAAGGGACTTCCTGGATTTTGATCAATATTGTATAGTTAGCCAGATACTCCAGTGGAGATTTTTAGCCTTCCTCTGAAGCACTGATTATACCATAAGCAGACTATCAACTAGATAACATGATTAATCCAATGTGGCACAATTCTCTAACTCTGAACAGCTCAAAGAACTTTAGATCTTTAATCTTATCAGCACCCATGGGAGCCAAATCAATAGCATTATCTCCAATTTAAAGGTGGGGAAATTGAGGCATGGGGAGGCTGTGTTTTATCCATGGCAACATGGCAAGTCCATGGCAGAGCTAGAAATAGAACCCAGGTCTCCTGTCTCCAAGTGCCCTGCTCTATCCACTAAACACTATGTGTGTCTTTGTAAAAATACTAGTCCATTCAAAAGGCCTCAGGGAGCATGACTGCATGTCACACTCTGCTGATCTATTGGATATTGCAGGACTATGTTCTGCTGAGTCCCCTTCTCCCTTCCCCATCCCCCATAGAACCCAAATAAAAGGATGGATAGACTAGAAACTGCTTTCAAATAGTTTCACTTCATTTTGCTTCCTTGAGCTTGTGAATTTATTGAAGTGCTCTCTCTGCACCATCAGAAGTCCTCTCTTCCCGCCCCCCCACCTCCCCCTGGAATCCATCCTCCCTCATTGGGCTCTCTCAAGCAAGTTTCAAATCTGACATTTCTAGCATCAGCCTGTTGCCATAGAAACCATGATGGTGTCAGAAAAATGTGATTGTGATTTCACCAGCTGGGGACAGGCTACAGACCAGGTGCAGTGATGTGGGTGGGTGTGTTTGGTGGGGAGGAGAAACTGAGTTACACCTTCTGGTCCCAGTCCTCAGACAGTAGTTGTCAGTCTGCTGCCTCCACACTGCTTTCTGCAGAACAGCTTGTGGAGGGTAGCTGTGTGTGTGTGTGTATATATAAGTGACATGTTTGTGCATAAAAAGCCACAAGGGAGTGATCAGCCTCAGAACTGTAGTTGAGTGATGACTGGTGGTTAATACTGTTGAGTGGTCTAGGGAGGAGGTAAGAGCATGTTACCACACTGCAGGTGACCAACCCCTCTGCAACCCCCCCCCAAAAAAAAAAACAACCTGGCATGCAGAGGAATTAATAGGGCCAGGAACAAAAAGCTGATGCCAGTCAGTCTTCCACACTGAGGGGCCATATCAGGGGATAGATCTCACTCTTAGTTATATAGCCACAATTCAGCCCATATCAGCTTACAATCTCCAATATGCTTTCACCATAGTACAGCATCTAAATGCTAGGATGTGTAATTAGAAATGGGCCAGAATTAAACCCACACATTCAAATACCCCCTGAATTTAAGGAAAGGCTTGATTTGGATTCAAACCAGGGGACTGAGGGCCATCTCCTATACATCATATACATGATTTTTATTGACACTAATCTGGGATGGATGCACCCTCATTAATACAAGCGAGTTTCCGATGGATAACAGACATGACTTTTTTTTTTAAGGTCTAATCTCAGGACCTATTAAGGCTACAAAATTTTATTTCATTGAAGGGGGTATTTTCTGCTCAACAGTGGGATAAGCCACAAGGCTGCTGGACATCTGGCTAGGACTTTTAAGTCAGTAGTTCTCAACCAGGGGTATGTGTGCCCCTGGGGGTACTCAGAGGTCTTCCAGGGTTTACATCAACTTGTCTAGATATTTGCCTAGTTTTACAACAAGCTACATAAAAAGCACTAGCAAAGTCATTACAAACTAAAATTTCATACAAATGATTACTTGTTTATACTGCTCTATATACAATACACTGAAATACAAATACAGGATTTATATCCCAATCAATTTATTTTGTATGGTAAAAATGAGAGAGCAATTTTTCAGTAATAGTGTGCTGTGACACTTATATTTGTCTGATTTTGTAAGCAAGTAGCTTAAGTCAGGTGAAATGTGGCGGTATGCAAGACAAATCAGACTCCAGAAAGGGTACAGTAGACTGGAAAGGTTGAGAGCCTTTAAGTGATGGAATGCAAAATCACTATGGACCTGTGGCTTTGAGGCCTAAAAGGGCAACCAAGTTTGACACTTTTAACATTTTGGTTAAACTCTTACTCCCGGTACCCAATTTTTTGGGGCCAGAACACACTTGGCCACACATGGGAGAGTGATGATCACAATTCAATGTTTATGAAGTGGCAAGCCTTTGTAAATATCACTAGAGCTCTTTCCATTTAGAGGTAGAAAAATGGGAGAATGACACATTTAAAGAGTGTGAAGCTGAGAATACCTTTAAGTGACACTACAGTATTCTAAAGCAACTGTTCTCAGTGTTGGTCATGACCCCAGGGTAGATCAGAATTTTTTTTTTCTAGCCTTCCTTCACAATCAGAAAGCTTTCTGAATGTTGCAAGCCAGTGATAATTAGACTATGGCTATAGCTGGATATACTAGTCAAAACTTCATAAGGATGCATCAATTATACTTTGTGAAATTATCAATTTGTATATGCAGACTTATCACATATGGCTCAATGAACTGAGCCCTCTGCACTTCTTTTTAATTGAAACACTACAAAGTACTCTAGGAAATGGGGCATAAAGGATTCTGGGATATAAATTCAAGAAAGAAAACTGGATTGTTTTCAGGTCACAGAAGGCAAAAGCAAATGAGGTTTGAGGCTACCAACTGTAAAATGATTCTCAACCTTTTCCAATAATGACCCAAACAGCTACAATATTGTTAATACCCTGTTTCAGACTTTTTCTATCTAATTTTTTAGAAGGTTATTGTGACAGGACTCACCATTCTGGAATCATCCTCTCAGGCAAGACCTGCTACTGCAGCAACTGCACCCCATTCCACCTTCAAGCCTTAGTGGCCAGGAAGGGTGACTTGGTCTTCCAGCCATGTTGCTTGTTGGGTATGCTAGAAGGTGGTAGAACTAATGTTTGACATCATTACTTTTGGACAAGTTAAAGGTAACAAACACAAGGTCTTCCAGTCCACCTGGGCTCTTCTTAAGTGTCTCTCTCCCCTAAAGTCCAAAACAAGGAAACAAATTCTACTACCCTTCCTGGGCTCAGTTGTCTGCAGAATTCTTCCCCATTTTCTACAAAGCCCTGCCTCCCAGCCTACTGACCCTCAAGGCTTCTTCCCCTAGACTGTATCTCTGTCTGTCTCTTCTTCTCTCTAACTAGCCTCTCCTTTCAAGGCCAGTCAGTTCTCCCAGCCTTTTAGGGACATCACCCAACTCCTTCCCAGCTGCACCCAATAATTGATCCAGACCATCTAATCCTCTGCTGGTCAGGATCAGTTTGGGAGGATGGGAGTGTAGCTGATCTATCACAGGTGAGGCTGAGCCCAACTCTCCTTAAAGATACCTGTGATGGGTATCTTGCCCTGCTATTCCTTTGAATTTGACCCTATGTATTCCCTCAAGTGAGAAACAACAAAATGTTGGACAATATTCGATTCTTCTGCAGAACTGAAAGGACCCTCTCAGTGAATTTTGATGGATTACAGTCCTGGCCCTTTTAAAAATCTTCTTATCCTGTAAGACATGTGTGGTGCTTTGTGTGTGATGTTACTTAACATATCACCTGTCCTGCAGGAGATTTCTATTGAGATTCCAGGAATGTACTCTAGGAACACACAGCAGGGCTAGGTGGGAAACAAATGAAAGAGGAACACATCCCATGCTCTTTTAGTGCTCTTAAAGGAGAAGAGCATGTGCAGTGAAAAATCCATTATATTTTCTCCCCTCTTCCTCCCCTCCCTAGTGCCCTGGGGAACACTGTTGCTTGGAGCATTCTGCTAATGACACCTGAGTCATCTAATTACCACTCAGTGTATCTGGAGAGAAGTACATTTTAAATGCATTTTTGCATGAGGGAAGCTTGTATCCCACCTGTCTCTCCATATCATCGTCTGTTAGCAACTCTGGAGACTTACAGTCCATATATGAGTTCCCAGTCCAAGCCTGATGGATCAAGAGAGGCAGTTATCCCTGTGCTGTTTGGCATGGCAGTCCAATCAATTATTAAAGTGATGCTCCAGATTCTAGAGCTACTTTGAAACTGGCAATGCAGTTTGACTCATCAGATCTACAGTAGTTCCTTGCTGATGGATTGCTGCAGTGGGCTCGGTGCTAAGAGGTACCATGTTATCGGAGGAAGAAATGGAAGGGAATTGAGTGTCTTATGAAAATAATGCTTAGAAATTGGAGCCGCTGAATTGGCAGACTGCATCTTGCGTACTTTATAAAACAGTTAAAACACTCGGCCGTAGCAAGGGGCAGTCAGGCAGTCTTTCTGAAAAGCAAGTTATTGTGGCAGAGCATGTATGGTGTATGTGATTGCATGCATATAAGCATGTGCATGTATATTGTCAGGCGTGACTGAGCATTAATAAAGTGTCATGGTGTGTGTCAGCATGAGTAAGATGTGGCAAAATGTACACACTGACTAAACTGTATGAAATGTCTGGACAGCATGTGTTATGTGACTGCATGTGTGTATGTGGTAGAGCACTTGCAACCTATGACACAGCATGTGCAGTGTGCCACATACCATGTTCAGCAAAGCTGATATAAGATGCAACAAAGTGTTTATTCAAGATAGGACACAGATGCCTTTCCTATCTTTGGAAGGCTTGTCACATCATTGCAGGTGGCAATTATCAGCCATGTAGCAGCGTGGGTGCTGTGTTTAATTATAGCTCATATTTAAGGACACTAATAAAATTGACAGCTTTTTAACTCCTATTGGGGAAACTAAACACCTTTTTTTGAAGGGGGAAAAAAAACAAATCAGAAGTTGAAAAGTTTTTCATGCTAAGTGTAAGAAAGAATCAGAAGGAAACTTCCTGGCTCTCCTCATAAGAAAGCTGAAACCCCTGGAAGATCAAATCCCTGAGCCAGGACACATCTCCCAGCTGCTGCAACAAGGAAAATGGATTTGAAATACCCAGCTTGGAGCTAAGGGAGCAAGACTACAAAGAGGCAAGCAAGCAATAACATTGCGATCAAATAGCTTCCCCTCTAGAGAAAAAGGAGGTGACTCCCTGAACTTGGGGCTTTGGCAATCTTTTCCAGTAAGAGCCAGGACAGACTGTTGGGGATTTGTATTCTGTGGGGAAATTCCTTCCCATGGCTTTTTAAAAATTGAATTTGTCTCTCTCAAAACCCTTTCACAGCCTGAAATTGATGTCAGCTAGAGATGTGTAGATAGGATGTTCTCCCTATATCCCCCCTATGCCCCTTCCATTTCTGCAGTGTTCTTGGCCCTATCTTGTTCCCCAGCCCTAACCCCATTCCTCTAATTGCTTTCACTTTCCTTCCTTCTCTCCTTCCCCCCCCCCCCCACGCTGTTTGGAGGGAGACACAAGGCAATACCTGCTTGGGCTATGGCCCCATAGGAGGGGGGGGGGGCGATTCAGGAAGAATGCTAGGAGGGGGAGTAGTTGGGTGGTTCTGTGCCCCAGCAATTTTGCACCTCCTAAGGCCCCTTGCAACAAGTGTGCAAATTAGGGCAACCTCACTACAGCACTGTCTCTGCAAAGTTCCCCTGCGCTTTTTCTAAGGCGATGGGGGTGTGCATTGGCTTTGCTAATAATAGCAATGATGATGCATTCATTTTTTCTACTGCTTTCCTCCTGTAGGGGATTTTTTGCAGCAAATTATAAAGCGATGACATGTGCAAATGACCATGTAACTCTACTGGGGAGCATGAGCACAGGAAAGACTCTGTGGGGAGTGAAAGGAGCTCAAGGAAAGCGGGTAGAGCAAAGGATCTGTGGGGAGCATGGGTGGTGTGTGGGGGAGAAGGGATGTTAGGTGAGAGTGCAAGTTGTGCAGGGAACGGTGTGTCCTGGTGCTGAGTGCTGGCTGAAATCATAGCTAGGAGGCTGCATGGAAAGGAGGGTGTAAGGGGAGAGGAGAGGTGACTTCAGAAGTGAGGAGAAGCACCTTACATTTTATTTTTCTAAAACTTCTTGGAGAGATGACAACAGTTCCTACTTTATACAGACCCTCTAGTGCTTACCTGACAATAACAGAGCTCCATGCTAGCTGTTACTTTGTGCGGCTTGAGCCCCAATGAAAGTTTGACTTGATGCCCACCAGATTGTGCCTTAAGAGGAGCTTCCTCTTACAAAGCACGCCAAAGAATGAAGACCTATCACTTTCCTTATTGGGATTTAACTAGCAGCTTCTTCCAGTATGCTCTTAGAAAAGACACAAACCACTCCAGTTCTCTCCCTGTGAGTCACCCATTGTACACAGTACTGCCTGCACCAGCGCTTCTCAAACTCTGGGTCAGGTCCCCAAAGTGGGTTACGATCCTGTTTTAATGGGGTTGCCAGGGCTGGTGTCAGACTTGCTAGGGTTCGGGGCCAAAGGCCAAGCCCCACTTCCTGGGGCCAAAGCTGAAGTCCAAGCCCCACCACCCACCAGAGCCCAAGGCCTTCCACCATGGGCGGTGGGGCTCAGGCTACAGCCGCTGAATTGGCAGACTGCATCTTGCGTACTTTATAAAACAGTTAAAACACTCGGCCGTAGCAAGGGGCAGTCAGGGCTGAAGCCCCTTGAGCTGCGGCTGGTGTGGCAGGGCTCCGGCTTCAGCTTTGTTCCCTCCTCCTGGGGTCCTATAGTAATTTTTGTTGTCAAAGGTAGTTGTGGTGCAATGAAGTTTGAGAACCCCTGGCCTACACCACTGTAGGGAATGACCTTCTGTCAGGGCCTGAAGAAGAGCTCTGTGTAGCTGGAAAGTTTGTCTCACTCACCAACAGAAGTTGGTCCAATAAGACATTACCTCACCCACCTTGACTCTCTGGCACGAGAGATTCTTGACTGCATCATGCTGGTTCCTTCCTCCATTCAAAGGCCTGTTGTCACTGTGGGAGAAGAATGCCATATGCCCGGCCTGTGATACAGAAGAGAAATGCTATGTCTCCAGTTCTCTTGCTGTATGTGAATTGCAGACTGAACCTGTACTACCACTGCAGTCACACTATAGAGTCCTGTAATGTTTGAGAGTTAGTTATTTCCCCAACCCCTAAAGACTGGTCCTGTTCAAACTGGATCTGATTTCATTTCTCTAGACCTCTGGGACTAGGGTGACCAGATGTCCTGAAAGCTTATGCTCCAATACATCTATCTGTTGGTCTATAAGGTGCCACAGGACTCTTTATTGATTTTATAGGGACAGTCCCAATTTTTGGGTCTTTCTTATATAGGCTCCTATTACCCCCCCCCCCTTCCACCCCCGTCCTGATTTTTCACACTTGCTGTCTGGTCACCCTATCTGGGACATGCTCGCCTGCAGAGACAGCTTGGAAAGAGTGGCCCCTCTTAGCCAGGGTATGCAGTTAAAAAAGCATGAATCCCAGGAACAGCTACGCAATTGTCCACAGTGTGCTGTTCCATGTGCTGCAACTGGGCCACAGGGCACACCTGTGGGGGTGCATAGTAAGTGATCCCCTGGCTTGGTTCGCTGAAGGCAGAGCACTCAATAGATAGGAGGGAAACCTCAGCTCAGATCTCTCAGTCCCATCCACTGTAACATATTTAAGTTGCCACTTAAGGTTTGTCGTCTTTTCCTAAAAAAGGTGCTGCTCTACCCGGGGATAACTAGTGCAGATTGGCTATCCCATTGTAACTCTTAGTGGCAACACAGTCCTGTAATTTCACTGCTATGTAAACTAGGCAGAGGTAGAGTGCTGAGTTCACCTCACTACCGTATGGTAAAAACAACCCAGGCCTTGTCTCCACTAGGATTTTAAGGTGGGATCGCCAGCCTACATTAGCCATCCTGCTGTAAAATCAACCCCCCACCCTCCCACCAAACCTTTTTTGCAGTGAAGATCCAGCCAAAGAAACTAGGGAGAGGGGTTAGCTCAAATCAGAGTGGGGATTTGGGACTGACTGTTTCCCTGGCATCTCCAGTGGATTGCCATGCCAGAGAGAGTTGGTGGTTAGGGCATTAGCCTGGGGTTTAGGAGACCCAAATCCACTTCCTGTGTGAGTGTGGGAAAGGCATGTAGTGTCTCTGCCTCAGTTCCCTGTCTGTAAAATGATATAATAGGGAAGTGCTATCTCCTAGGGATGCTGTGAGGATAAATACACGAACGACTGTGAGGCACTCAAGTAATATGGTAAAGGGGTTGGGGGGAAACATATAAATACCTGACACATGTTTGCTGTGGCCTAAAATCTTTTTAATGATAAGAACAGCCACAGTAGGTCAGGCCAGTATCCATTTTTCTGACCGTGCCAATGCCAGGTGCTTTAGAGGGAATGAACAGAGCAGGACAGTTATCAGTGATCCATCCCCTTTCCTCTTTACAATACATCTTGTTGTTAGCGTATAATAAACCCTAATCCTGCATCTCTCCCCCAAACTTGCCTTTGGTCACCCTGTGCTTCCAAGCCCATTCGGTCCCTTTTTGAAGCCAGCATAGCCATGCTGATTAGCCTTCAGTGTGTAGAGCAACCTGCCCTAAACTTGGCAATTCCCATGGTTGCTGTACACTAGAGAAGGGACAGCCAGAGCCTGGGAACGGCAGCGGAGGAGCTGGACAAGTTAATTACTGTCTGTGAGGCCTTACAAGAAGAGGCAGCAAAAGAAAAGCTGTGGGCGTTAGTCCCATTTATGTGAGCCAAGTATAATACAGCTGCTGTGCAGGGTGTGATCGCACCATTTGGGAGAATCTACCTTGCACATCTTCATTACAGATTGAGGAAATCTCTCTATCCCCATCCATGCTCCCTCGCCATGAGTGGGAATGCCATATGGTAGCTTTCTTTGTATAGAGATGGTAGGCAGTTGACTTGGGTGTGTTGAGGCTGATCCCTGACGAAGGACCTGGGAGTACCTCTAAGACAGTAAATCACAATGAAAAAGAAATGATCACATAGCCTGTAGTTCTGAAATACTAATTCCAACATGTTTGTGACAGATCTCTCTCTCCATTATCTCATCGATCTGTCTAATCTGCCCATCACCATGGTATCCAGGTACCAGAAGCGTGCCCATTGCAGAATCTTTGAAAGAGACTAGCTGAAGTGTATCAAATGAAAATAGCACACTGGAGAAGGGCCCTCTCAAGCACTGAGAGAACAGAGTTCAGACTCCTGGCCCCTTCGCTGAGACCGTCAGGAAGGGGACCAGGTAGTGCTCCTTGGGACAGAGAAACCTGTCCCCTAGTATCAGAGGGGGAGCCGTGTTAGTCTGAATCTGCAAAAAGCAACAGTCCTGTGGCACCTTTAAGACTAACAGAAGTATTGGAGCATAAGCTTTCGTGGGTGAATGATGACTTCATCATTCACCCACGA